TGAGGAAAGAATATCAGAGCATTTTACATTTCATGACGTACTGAATCTAATTCTTTAGAATATTGCAATTTTATCGACAAGAGCAGTCACGTGTTTTTTAAATTCTCCAATATGTATATATATATATTGGTTTTTGCCAAATGGGAAGTTTGAAAGAACACGTATAACTCTCATCGGAAAAATAACAACAACAAATAAAAACAAACTATTAACAGATGCAGGATGAGAGTGTTGTAGGATGGGAGTGATGCAGGATGGGAGTGTTGTAGGATGGGAGTGATGCAGGATGGGAGTGTTGTAGGATGGGAGTGATGCAGGATGGGAGTGTTGTAGGATGGGAGTGATGCAGGATGGGAGTGATGCAGGATGGGAGTGTTGTAGGATGGGAGTGATGCAGGATGGGAGTGTTGTAGGATGGGAGTGATGCAGGATGGGAATGATGCAGGATGGGAGTGATGCAGGATGGGAGTGTTGTAGGATGGGAGTGTTGTAGGATGGGAGTGCTGACGTGATGATGTGAATTTTCTGTTGTACGAAATACATTAAACCGAAGGTCTGAAACACAAATTGATCAAAGTTTAGGTAAGAGATAGACCTTTTTTTTCCCTTATCTTTTTTTGGTCAGTTTAGTACTTTGGTAGGACCTCTGAATACAAATGGAATAAGTAAACTGATACTGAGTGTGCAATGTATATAAATGTAGCTACAAAACATATTGGACATATTCGTAAAAGAATACCGTTAAAGTGTCCTTAATATCATAAAAAAACGGACAGAATAGATGAACGTAGAACGTTTTCAAACCAATCGCTGGTACGAAAAGAATCGAAAATTATCATAGAAGTGATTTGTTAATAGATCAGCAGAAACCTTTTAAAATTTGATATATATTTTTCTTATATCTGACAAAGCAGTATCACGAATTGAAAAAAAAACGATTTAAACCCTAATAAGCAAACTCACAAACGAAAACTTAAATATCTTTATAATATCAAAGGCCTTAAGGATATGAAGAATAATAAGTATTGTGAAGATCTTAAACTTCAAACGGAGATTCTTTTGACATAGATGATGATTGAGCGAAAAACTTCAGTTTAAAAAGAAATCCAGTTTAATTAACTCTTGAAATTATTCAATTTATGCCCAAACAAACAAGAGTTTTATCTAAGTGTACACTTACCTTTAAGGATATCCCTGGATCCAGTTTAATTAACTCTTGAAATTATTAAATTTATGCCCAAACAAACAAGAGTTTTATCTAAGTGTACACTTACCTTTAAGGATATCCCTGGATCCAGTTTAATTAACTCTTGAAATTGTTCAATTTTTTCCCCAACCAACAAGAGTTTTATCTAAGTGTACACTTACCTTTAAGGATATCCCTCGATCCAGTTTAATTAACTCTTGAAATTATTAAATTTATGCCCAAACAAACAAGAGTTTTATCTAAATGTACACTTACCTTTAAGGATATCCAACAAGAGTTTTATCTAAGTGTACACTTACCTTTAAGGATATTCCTGGACATGCCCGTTTTACATAAATTATACAAAATGATATTTGATAGAAAAAAACAAACAAACAATGTTGGAAGTTCGCGCTATACGATAACACTGTTTTGCGAGACTTAAAATTTTATATAGAGTTAGCGTTCTTGTTTGTTCGATAATTTTTTGAAGACTCTGCATTGGTAAAATTATCGTACAATGTATTTTTTATCAGTAAAATCATTTGTTTTTAAAATTATTACTAACTTCACATTTGTGCTTTAAAGTTTGTTTATTATTTTATAATTAAAACGTTTTTTTACTTGATATGGTGCAATGGTGTGAATTAGTAATTATTAATATTATGTATATGCACAATAAAGGGTGGAGAACTTTAGATTTTGGAGCTGGTTTGAATACCGTGCGATACCACAAAATATTCCCCCACACTTTAAGTTGTAAATGCGTTATAAGAGTGACAGCAGTTTTTTAGTATGTATGATGGATGGTATGGTGCTGTTGAATGGCTATCATTCCTCTGGTCAGTGGTTCAAAATTAGGGACGGCATCAGGTAGCTTTGCAATAAGTGTAAAATACCAATCTGCAGTAAATGTTAAGGATTACATGTACTTCTTCGCGTATTTCAGTTTTATACAACTTCGCCCTCGATAAAATAAACAAGAAGTTTGGTTTAAACTGATCTCAGAAAATCCAGAACTCATCACAGCGTTGCTTTTAACACATCCCCGCTTTTTCAATAATTTGGAAAGTTTGCTCGTGATCTTTATAGGCTCAGATTTCAAACTTCCAAAACGTTTTTTTTATTATTACAGGTAATGTTGTTTCTTACGAGTGTCTACATCCTCTTGACACCGATCAGCTCATATTTAACAATTATTTTAATATTTGTGAGACTTTGAGCTGCTCCCCAGGAATTCCACCTGAATTAAGGCTTAAGATCAGATGTCAACTCTATGGACACACGTGTCATTAATATTCATTTTGATTTTGAAGCTTAAGCTTATGAAATATTTCACTGATATGTACATAATAAAAAGACTTATCGTCACTTGTTTGTTCTGACACAGAATACAAAACAATAATTTGACTCCAACATGTACTGTTTCTGCCAATAACACGTGACAAAGTAAGGTGTAAACAGTGCATCCATCTTAGAGACATCCTTTCAACGCTTTGTGTTACAGCTGTAAACAGTACGTCCATCCTAGAGACATCCTTTCAACGCTTTGTGTTACAGCTGCAAACAGTGCGTTCATCCTAGAGACATCCTTTCGACGCTTTGTGTTACAGCTGTAAACAGTGCGTCTATCCTAGAGACATCCTTTCGACGCTTTGTGTTACAGCTGTAAACAGTGCGTCTATCCTAGAGACATCCTTTCAACGCTCTGTGTTACAGCTGTAAGCAGTGCGTCCATCCTAGAGACATCATTTCAACGCTTTGTGTTACAGCATTAGAGCCAACAGAGGCAAAGCTTAATTCAATTTTTCATAGTTTTATTCTAAATTCTGAGTAAACTAAACTTGAAGAGCAACTATGAAACTGTTTTTATTTTCCAAAACATCAGCATTAATTTTTATACAGTAATATCTGACAGAATACACAGAATTAGTGAACGATTATAAGGAGCTTGTAAAATTCCAATGATATTTATTCAAAACACGTGCTATAGTGTTAAGTAAATCGATGGTGCTTTTTTTTTGGAATTGTCGAATCTACTGCTGAAGTAACATATTGTACTCAGCCTTTATCAAATTTTAATATTATTTGTATTATTATCATTGTTTGCCTTATTTGATGTTGGCGTAAAACATTTCTCATACTTATAAGTCATTGTTGCGCTTATTTGATGTTGGCGTAAAACATTTCTCATACTTATAAGTCATTGTTGGGCTTATTTGATGTTGGCGTAAAACATTTTTCATACTCATAAGTGATTGTTGGGCTTATTTGATGTTGGCGTAAAACATTTCTCATACTCATAAGTCATTGTTTGCCTTATTTGATGTTGGCGTAAAACATTTCTCATACTCATAAGTCATCTTTTGCCTTATTTGATGTTGGCGTAAAACATTTCTCATACTTATAAGTCATTGTTTGCCTTATTTGATGTTGACGTAAAACATTTCTCATACTCATAAGTCATTGTTTGCCTTATTTGATATTGGCGTAAAACATTTATCATACTCATAAGTCATTGTTTGCCTTATTTGATGTTGGCGTAAAACATTTCTCATTCTCATAAGTCATTGTTTGCCTTATTTGATGTTGGCGTAAAACATTTCTCATACTCATAAGTCATCGTTTGCCTTATTTGATGTTGGCGTAAAACATTTCTCATACTCATAAGTCATTGTTTGCCTTATTTGATGTTGGCGTAAAACATTTCTCTTACTCATAAGTCTTTGTTTGCCTTATTTGATGTTGGCGTAAAACATTTCTCATACTCATAAGTTCGTTGTGGTAAGTAAGAGAGAGAGGTTTGTTTCCTCTTTCAAAGGTCAAATTTAGTCCTTAAACTTTGCCAATAATCAATGAAAACCCAACGTCTTCATGCACTACATTAACATTGTATAGCTCCAAGTGTACAGTTCGGTTTGGTATACGCGTTTTTTCTTCTTTTTTTTTTACGAAATATAAAATGTTGAAGATATCATAATTTAAGCATGAAAAATAAAATGCGTCAGCTTTTAATGATTTGATGTGATTTACTAATAATATCAGTTGACATTTGATGCTTAACTTTGGAATTATGTTAGATTATGTCAGTGTAAACTGTTTCATCTTTCCTAGAAGCAGCATTTGATAGGAAATAATACACAGCACACATGGATAAAAAACGATAAAACTTGTAACAATCAACTATTGGATAAATCAATATTATCATAAGAAAATAATCCTGTACTCTTTTTACAGTAGGATACATTAAGTCCAATGATGGATAGTCCTAAACCTGACTATCTGTAATGATGAGACGTTTCGCTTACGTTTGTGTTCAATGAATCAAGGCTCTCTAATTAAAAAAATTTTCGGTCAATTATATTTTTCAGTTTTTGAAGATCTGAGACTTGCGGGTTCGAATCCCCATTCCACCAAACATGCTCGTCCTTTCGGCCCTGGAAGCGTTATAATATGACGGTCAATCCAACTATTCGTTAGTAAAAGAGTAACCCAAGAGTTGGCGGTGGGTGGTGATGACTAGCTGCATTCCCTCTAGTCTTTCACTGCTAAATTACGGACGGCTAGGGTGTAGCTTTGCGCGGAATTCAAATAAACAGTCAAAATGTATTATTTTACAAGAAATTGCAAAACTGCATACTACGCAGTACATAATTATATCCACAGTTTTATAAGCGTTGCACCAGGCATCATTTTCGTATATTGTTTTTGCAAACTACTGAGATAACAAATAAGGTTTTTTTTTTGTTATTTATTTGAAGAATATTTACTGGTATTAAAACATGGTATTAAATCTTTTTAAATGTTTTTCTAGGTTTTTCCTTAAACTCTTTCTCAAGTGTAACCAGAATTGTCTGAAAAATGCAGGAAATCCTCGGGACATGCGTAGGTTTCAGGTAAGCTTTATGTTTCTATTGAGTTGTGAAGCGTGCTAACGTTAGCAGAAGTTTTTTTATGTAACAATATCGTGCAAAGTTTACTGGTTAAAGAACAAATGTTGTTTTTAACAAGTGTTACTGGTAAAAAAAAACCAGCTAACTAACAAAAGTGGTTTTATTTTGGTGTCATATTATTTTACAAGACAATTTCTGATCTAAAACAGTCATTTTACTCACTTGTAAGTTGTCTGTTGCTATGATATTTTGAAAGTTTCATTGAAATGTTTGCGAATTATTCAACAGATGATGTTGGCCGGGTTATCCAACCAGTCAAGATAGAATAACATTTTAAAAACATTTTATTGAACATGTTGCTAGTAAATATAAATGTTAATATAATTAAACTAAACGAACGAATCCGATTTTTTTTTCTTATAAATGTACGGATATCAAGAAATTATTGAAGAACACCTTATAAATGTACGAATACCAAGAAATTATTGAAGAACACCTTATAAATGTACGGATATCAAGAAATTATTGAAGAACAACCAAAAAAAACTGGTTTTTTAGTAAATTTGAGTTTGGAATATCGCTAAATAATCTCAATAACGACTACGTTGCTCACAAGACTTTCTGAAGATACACAAATATTAAAATCTTGGCTTAATGTAAATCAAACTCAGGATAAGCTTTATATTAAGATATAACGTATTTTAATGTATGTTGATTTTTAATGGATTTTATAAGAACTGAAAAGACTTTAGTATAGTCTCCATTAATGTATATTCATTTCTCAGTTTCAATGTTCTCAACTTGCTAAATCCATAGGTTAGCTTTCTATTACCCATAAACTGGAGTAAGAAAACCATTGAAAAAACTTTTGTACAGCGCCTCTAAAAGCCAATAGATTTTAAAATACCGCCGGGAATTCGCGGAGTTTAACCTTGTCGACTAGCTTGTGAACTTCCTAAGTATTGACGTCTGGCTGAGCGTGAAGAATATGGGCTCTTAGATATTCTCTTCTACTTTATAGAAGTGATGAAAGAATGCAAAACGCCTGTAGGTTGTTATATAAAAGCACACTAGAATGTAGAATACTGTTCCCTTGACTACGTTTGCTTGTCCCCGCGGTATCGTAAGGAGCGTGAAACAAGAGGCTGAGAAGTGAGCGGGTCCAATAACTAAACATTGCCAAATACTGGCGACAGATGACGTGGACGCTTTTTGATCTTTGATCCCAAAGGCATTGGCCAACGACACACTATTTCATCTACATTTGCATTCGCTTATCAAAGACAGAAGTATTGTGAAGCATCATTATAGTCATGCCACTTCGATGATGGCTCGAAATGGTGTGGAAAAGGGACCCCCGAGAAAAAGATACAACCCCCCGCACGTGTTATTAGCTGCAACGATACTTTTATCTCGGCACTTTACAGTACACCAGGGGATGGAGATGTGTACGGGAGCAAAGAACTAGGCTTTGATTAAAGAATAGAAGCACTAATGTATGGCACTGGATGTCTTTATACTTAGTAAAATACCAACAGTGGAAGTTTTGATTATTTGAATAATTGTTGAACGAATTTATGTACTCAAAGTGTGCTAGGTAAATTAAACACACACCTATTTGTATAAATATATTTGCTTGTGTTTTAAAATGTTACAAATGTAGTGTCAAAACTTGTTGTTAAGTTGAAATACGAAAGAACTATTCGTACACTTACACAATTAAGACTTAGCACTTATTACACTTACACAACTAAGACTCAGCCCGTATGACACACAACTAAGACTCAGCACCTATGAAACTTGCACAACTAAGACCCAGCACCTATGACACTTACACAGTTAAGACTCAGCACCTATTACACTTACACAACCAAGACTCAGCACCTATGACACTTACACAATTAGAACTCAGCACCTATGACACTTACACAATTAGGACTTAGCACCTATGACACACAACTAAGACTCAGCACCTATGACACTTACACAATTAGAACTTAGCACCTATGACAACGCATATGTTACATACTGCTGTTAGGTAAATATTAATACAGTCATTGTCATGTAATATTCTCTGAGTCTGTTTAATGTGTAGTTCTGTTCGTGGATATCATAGATGTGTCCTATATGATTTTGTCACTAAAATTGTATCAGTAGACGTTGCATTATTCTAAACTACACTTAGGAACGTGCATTCGTGTATACCGGCTGATCAAGAAGTCCACTGAAAGGTAAATAATTCAGAAATGTTTAGGTGTAGGAAAGTAGCCGTTAATAATATGGAATGAAGTGCTGTGGACTCTACAACAATATCGCTATAGTTAAAGAATTCAGAAGTGGTGAGATGTATGAAAGCAATCGGTAATATTATGGAATGAAGTGCTCTTGGTGTACCCTGCAACATTATCGCTATAGTTAAAGAATTCAGAAGTGGTGAGATGTATGAAAGCAATCGGTAATATTATGGAATGAAGTGCTCTTGGTGTACCCTGCAACATTATCGCTATAGTTAAATAATTCAGAAGTGGATAGATGAATGAAAGCAATCGGTAATATTATGGAATGAAATGCTCTTGGTGTACCCTGCAACAATATCGCTATAGTTAAAGAATTCAGAAGTGGAGAGATGAATGAAAGCAATCGGTTATATTATGGAATAAAGTGCTCTTGGTGTACCCTGCAACAATATCGCTATAGTTAAAGAATTCAGAAGTGGAGAGATGAATGAAAGCAATCGGTAATATTATAGAATGAAGTGCTCTTGGTGTACCCTGCAACATTATCCTTGAGGTCATTCGAGGCCATTTTCGTCGTGAATTTTGTTAACATGCATCACATCCAAAATTCATCTCACATTGCTCTCTACAGTGTAACACAGATGACTTCTGAAGGCACGTGACAATTTCGAAAATATTTCCTGGTCTTCCTGTAACATTTTAAATTATTCTCTTTCAGTTATTCTCTTTATACCAAACTACAAGCAAAATCTATTTGATTTAACATTTAGTTTAGAATGTTAGAAAGGTGAATTAAATATCTGGCCAAAAACTATGTTTTATCGTTCGCCATACTTAACATATGTTTACACTTAGAAACCTTCTAATACATCGCCATTATGATAGCAGAATTCAGTACAGCGTAATCCTCAATAATACGACTTTCTGAGGATGAGATCCAGACCTCTGTTATTAATGGGTCATAACGTTGATTCGCCAGAGATTCTATGAAATATTCACCAGTCAACCACTTTAGGTTCTCAAGGTCACAAACTATAAATGACGGGAGGTGACGCTCAGCTTCCTAGCTCCTAATTAGTTTAATCAGTTCTTGCTAAATTTATTGCAAAGGCTAGAAGTCCAAGTTTCAAAAAATGGACTCCGTTATTTGACGTATTTACCAGAACAGCAATTAAGATTATACCTTTTCAGTGAAGTCAACTTTAAATTCATTCTTGGAAAATAAATCATTAACAATTTACGCCTCGCATCATTAATTACTTTTCCACTGTACCAACATATGTTACTTGAGGAAGTTTTCGTATCACCGTAACAATTTACGCCTCGCATCATTAATTACTTTTCCACTGTACCAACATATGTTACTTGAGGACGTTTTCGTATCCTCGTAATTTCTTATTTAAAATCCTGTTTCATTTTCATTCATTAAGGAGAAAAAGAACAGTCTTCAAGAGAAAATTTTATTATTAATTCATAAATAGAAAAGTTTGTGATAACTTTAACCAAATATGTAGTGTTTCATGAGATCTTTGTTAATCGAAAAGTTATGTTTAATATTTCCACTTGGTTATCATAATGATAGATATTTAATAATCTTATCATTTGTGGTAACGATCTCAAATCATAAATCCCGAATTGTCTAGCAATCCCTCTGGTATCTCAGCCAATGTTTTCTCGACATAGAAAATATCAATTAATGCACTTAAAGTTATTCCTTACTTTACTGCATATTTTAGTTCTTATAGTCGCTATGCAACGAATGTACTAATTTACCTTATAACTTTTTTACTCACGCTTCAAAATGCAAAATCAGGAGTAGAAAAATAAGAATGTGTTTGTTCCAAAAAAAAATCTTGACGTTTACAGAGTCATCTTTGGGGTGAGATAAGGAGCGAAAACGTCCTATTCCATTTTAACAAGTTTATACATGTGCTAAAATATATAATGTTGTTCGATTTAACTATGAAGAGTATAGATTTAAAATAAATAAATAAGAAAAGAGGTTTTGTTTTAAGTTCACCGATTTCAAATACACCGTTACTTCATATACGATAGTTTAATTACTGAAAGCTTACAACGTTTTACATAATGAGAGAAGCCAATAACTTTAGCTTCATATATGGCTTCTCTCATTATGTAAAACGTTGTAAGTTTTTCAGTAATTAAACTATCAATAAATCTAAAGTAAAAGAAGATAATTTGAAAATGAGAAGAGTTTATTTTTTATTTGTAGTTAAGCACAAAGCTACACAATGGGTTATCTGTGCTCTGCCCACCACGGGTATCGAAACCCGGTTTCTAGCGTTGTAAGTTTGCAGACATACTGCTGTGCCACTGAGAGGAGAAAATAGCAAGGCTGATTTATTTCTACGCAAGATCATTTTAAGTGGAGATTTGTAATGGATATCAATATAAAGCTCATGTTTTTTGTTGTTTTTTAAGACAAGCGAACGTCTTTTAATCTTTACTCTCCTCTAAATTGGACTTAGTGATTTGCCTGTTTATACATGGCAACTTTTTTAACTTGGGATTTGGCGCTCGTCCAGTTTCACTATCTGCTGCAGTTATTTATAATTCCAACATTCAAGTTGTACGTTTTTAATAAGTTTGTAAGTGGCGTGCATCCGTCAACCATTCATTTTCATTGAAGCCCATTACGACGGACAAACACCATTCGCCGTCACTGTGAGTTGACAGGGTGAATTAGATGCACGAGCGGCTTACTGCTTTACGAGAAACAGACAAACGATGTGGGTCAGGGAGGAC